GGGGGGGGGGGGGGGGTTGGGAAACCTGTCATTGCGGGTGGATTACCGTTTTATAGCCCGGCGGCTCTGGATTCGGTGGTTGAGATTGTCCGTTTTTTGGCCCGGCGGCTCAAAAATCCATTAATTCAGTTATGAAAGTGAAGAAGCAAAGGGTCAGTTATAAATATGAAGGACCAGTGAATTCCGGAATGGTTTCGGCGCCTCCTTTCGGAGGGTCACACCCAGCACCCAAGTGGGAAGACTGAGCGGCTCACACTCTGACATTGGTTTTCAGTTAACTCAATTGCCACGTTGGGAAGGAAGGTGAAGAACGGTAAGGTGAAGAGTCCGCAAAACTTGTAGATGTTTGAACAAAATGGTTTGAAGTCTGCAGAAAGCACGAAAACGAAACGCTCACGAAAACGCGCGGCTCAGTTGCAAGAACGCGGTGGGAAGGTTTAGGGGGAGTATCATGAAGAACCATGAAAACAAACAAGGTCAATTGGACAGCTTGTTCAACCGTTAAAGCAGGTACACATCCATGGCCAGTGGTTGCTTCCCTCTCTGATGCCTAGCTTCGTTGGACAGAGTAGCATCAGAGAGCTCTGTCCCCCTGCTTTAAATTAAATTAGACCCTTGGAAACAGGGTTTGACACACACACACACACAACCGCAGGAGGCATGTGCAGCCTCTACCCTGCCCGGAAAGGAGGCGCAAAAGAGAAGACATGAATGAAAAGAGGACGAGACAAGACAAAGGTGTGTGGTCGTCGATGAAGCAAAAGCCAAATGAAAAGGGACAACCAGCGAACCGAACCTCATCGTAACGAACCTGGGGCACTTATGCCTAGTTTGTTGAAAAAAGGGTGCGCGAGCGCGAGGGTGCATAGACTAAAGTCTATACAAAACAGCGTGCGCGGGGCCCACGCGTCATGCCACAAGTCTGGAAGTGACTATGCTCGGTGGTACGGGTGGGCAGAGGTTCACAAACCGTTGGTTAAGGATCCAGGAATGGATTGGTTGGGGCATGTGGCATGCCATGGGCGACATGGAGCATGTGACAAGCTGTGGGCGGCACATGACGCGTGACAAGTGGATGCATGGCAGCTACTGCGGCGCGCGGGGTGTGGCAAGCTACGGCGGCATGCAGGATGTGGCATCTATGGTGGCATGCTGGGGCTGGGTGCCTAACAGCCGGCGCGGTGGCTCGTGCCCGGCGGCCCAGCAACAAAGACACGAGGTTGGAAGCTGTGCCATCATTCATACATGCAACCTGCAGCATGGTGTGGTCTGCAGGTTGGGGGGAATGCGAAAGGTAATGTGCACAGCCCTTAGGGTGCACGCATCAAGCCACAAGAGGTAGTCTGGAAGTGACTATGTTCAGTGGTATGGGTGGAAGAGGTTCACGAACCGCAGGGACAAACCCTTGCTTGGCAAGGCCACGGAAAACACTCGTCGGGTACACCCTGGGCTGGCACAAAGCCAGATACACTCGCGAAATGCGTACTGAAAGGCACTTGCCACACACCCCCCCCATGTATGAAAACCTAAGAAGGCAGGGCAAGAGTAGGTTAGAGGCCATCATAGGCCATCGCATTTAGGTTGGAGTTTGTCGCATCTAGGCGGGAGACCCTCGCTACCGTTGGAGGCCATCGTTAGTAGGTTTGTTGCATGCAAAACAAGACTCAAAATTGCAAGAACCGACAAGGTTGGAGGTCATCACTAGGTTGGAGGCCACCGCAACAAGGTTGGAGGCCCTCAATTTGCAAAACCTGAAAGTTGGAGGCCATCACTAGTACGATGGAGGCCATCGCACCAGGGTTGGAGGCCAACGCTACAAGTTCACAAGACACAAACTCAAAATACAAGTTTGAGTGAAACGGGTGGCAGGTACGGTGGAGTGGCCAACTCCACTATCCCATCTTGCTGCCTAGCTTTGTTAGACCAGGTCGGCAGCAAGATGTCTGGTCCCCCTGCCATTAGGAAGACCGAAAGGTCCCCTTTGATTCCAAGGGCTCCACACACACACGACAAACTTCTTTTCTCAGGAGGTCGATGAACTTGAAGAAGAACTCGAAGAAGAACTTGACTTTAGCAAAACAGTAAAACAGGTCTCTCCAGTAAAGCAATTATATTTTGACTTGGAAATGGACAGGTGCTCACATGAAATGTGTTTGTTACCAACAGGTTGAATTACAGTATATTGTTTTTTCCGTTTTGGTGACTAAATATGTCCACCCACAGAACCTGCACGCACAGGACCTACCTTTAAATTCCAAGGCACGGGGTTACAACTGGTCAACAAAAGCTTCTGCGGTGTTTGAGTGATAATTAATTATAATTACATCTACAGTGATGGCCGTAGAGTTTAACTGTGCCAGTTTGGCGGGATCGAGGTACACTCCGTGAGGAAATTGTTCTGCGCCTTCGAACAATTTTCTTTTGGTTTTTGTCGGGCTTTGGTTCGATCTCAGCATCCAACGAAAATTCCGGCAAAGCTGATACGGCCAGCCTGAGGTGCACCACCACTCTGGAATGACACTTGTTCACAGCATACCAACGCGCAGTGTTGCTTGAGGTAAAGACTCCAAGACCAGCAACCTCTACCTGCAAAGTGCTGACATCACCCTGTCACCCAGATTGATCTAACACAAACCAACCAACTACGTTCGACGAGTAGACTTTTAGGACTTCAATCTGCGAGTGTTCCTTTAAGTTAGCTTTTGTATACCTTTGTCCTTGTTGCTGCCTCAGGGCCAAAGCAAACGCGCCCCGTCCTCAGCATGATGTCATCAGGATGCATGACCAGGCATGACATTTGTAGGTCTCTTTGCGGAACGGATGGGCCTGGGCTCGCCACCAGTTTGCGCTGCCGTACCGAGCTTCCAGTGCCCGTCCTGGAAGGATGATGAATCAAGGTGAATCATTTGAATCATCTGTGAATCCTCGTTCTTTTCACTATTAGGAACAATAAGCTATTAGAAACAAGTGCATCGCTTCTAGTAACAAGTGCCTTACTAGTAGTAACAAGAAGCTATTAGTAACAAAAGCCCCAAAAAAAAGTTCAAACAATTTCAATCCGAAAGGTTCGACCTTCACAAACTCCCGTGTAGAAGGATTGGCACCCAGCTACAGGACGAGCTGGAACTGCGAAAGTCCTGTTTCGATGCAAATAATACAAGAACTCTTTGATATACACACAATATTGCAAGATAGCTTGCTTGGTTTGTGCGTGAGGCTTTTGGTCGCAAAGTGCTTGGTCGCGTGCGAAGACCCAGTGTCAACAATCACAGGGAAAATCTGTTCGCCCACTACCACCTGCGGAGGACACAATGGCAAAAATGCAACACACATCTGCTCTTGGTTCTTGCTATATAACACCTACTGTGCCACAACGAAGAGCTCTGCTTCAAATGCCCATCTTACGCATTTAAATCACTGACCTTGACAAAGGACAAGATTGAGCTGTACGCTTCTTGTTTGAATGCACGTCACGGTCTTGCGACAAGGCAAGGTGGTCCCCATCAACTTTAAGGATATCGCCTCGACGGCAAAGTCGGACCAGGCTGCTCCTATCAAACCACCTATCGGACGGTAGCTATTTCTGCACTTCGCAAATTGTTTGTACTGAAGTATTCTTACAGTATTGCATTTTCGCTGAAGTACTTTCAGAAATGCACTTCACCTATCACAGGCCAGCAGGGCTGCTTGCAGGCTCACGGCGAGACTGCAATCGACGGAGCTTCGTCAGGTCTCAAGTTCAGCCAGAAATCGGCTTTCAAGTGCATTACTACTAGTAACAAGTGCATCGCTACTAGGAACAAGTGCATTACTAAGTAATAACAAGGAGGCATTACCGGTTTTTGAGTTTTTACTTGTGAAGAGAAGACAAAAAAAAAAAAAAACAGAGTTGAACGAAAACAAAGGACAACATGCAACGTGCTCAAATTTTCTGGCGCCAAGGCTGAGCTTCGTCCAAGTGTCCTTCCCAATGCGCAAAACAACTCTAAAAGAACCTAGTCGGATACTCCCTAGACACATGCCGAAAACATATGAAAATGAAGGAACTCAAAATGTGTCAATCAATGATAATGAAGCACACTGACCTGAGGATATCACGAGAACGACACGAGGCATATCGAGGCATCGTATGACTAGCTCGTCCTTTGTAATTTGAGTCTTTCGTGCCAACGTTTGAAGCGCAACAAGCGCCTCAGTCAGTCGAGCGCCTTTCAATTGTAGTTGTCGTCTGAATCAGCACAAATAGCCGTTGCATGAACGCTGTTTCATTCATTAAGCTTCAGTTTCAATTTGTTTCGATCATGGCTTTAAGATGTTTTAAGTATTTTTAAGTGTTTCTTCATTCCAATTAGGGTGCTTGCAGAATCGGCAAGCGGGTCATCGGTCTCATCACAGGACCTGGGACGCCATCGTCCAGAGTTACGTCTTGCACAAATATATCGTGTCAAACATAAGAGTCTGGTCTGGATCTTCGGTTCTGGCGAAGCCAAATGTGGGACATCATCTGCCGCAATTGCCAGAGGCTCAAAGCACCTTGGCTTTTGATGTTTGATCCTTTTCGGTTGGCTCTGTGTGCATCCATGTTTCTCGTGTGTCTGTGCCGATTGTGCTCGGCAGCGGCATGCAGCCAAAACTCAGCTGCACACAGCCAAAAGAAATGTGCGACATGCAAGAGAAAGCCTTCACACGACTTAAGAAATGAAGTGAAGTGAGGCTGACTGTGCACGAAGCCAAGTGACACGCAAGACATGTATAAAAATGTCACTTCAAGAGGCTTTTTCTCCGTCGCCAAAAGCCCTTATATGTGCTGCGGCCGGCCATAGGTCTGTGTGTTTTGTCTTTTTCTGTGATGGAACAAATGCCCAGTCCTGCCTGGCAAACCAAGTGCTTTCAGGGCTGAGAGGAAGTTGCACCATGACTCTTCTGCCGGGCCTTGTTCCTACGCTTCCCTGACTTATTTGAGCAAAGCTTAATAGCCTGCTCGATGCGGCTCAGACGAACTCCTTGTTGCACAAATTTGCATCCACGATCTTGACCATCCGTCCTTGGACGCAAGGGCAAGGGAACCAGTTTTGCACAAACATCAAGCAAAAAAACTCATTCTTGGACTGTGTTTCCTCTCATCTCCTGATTACATCCGTAACATGATGCAAGTGTCTCCAGCTGCGCTTTGCTCGGATGTCGGAATGAACATATCTCCATGTCCCTATGGCCATCAAAGCTTGAGTCTAAGCGGGAGCAAGTCGAAGGGAGTTCCCATCCACTGAAAGGCAAACGCTGAGTACTGTCAGTGTCTGCCTGAGCTCGACTTCTCTCTGCATGAAAATGGAGCCATTGCTTTGCTCGGCCACCATCCATCGCCCAAACCATTACAAGCCAGTCTGCCACAGCGGTCTGTGGGTCTCGTCGAGACGGTGTGGCAAGTTCACACCCGGACAAAGCCAAACGGGTGCGGAACACAAAAGAGACGTCGGTTCCGAACTCGAGACGTGGGCTGTCAGTCAAAGCCTTGCTAATGGCCGCCAGCAGGTCTGCAGCACGCAGCTTGGCAACTCGATCGACACGATGTTGCGCCCTGCAAAAGCATCGCATGACGACAAGCGTGCCAAGAGCGGCAATTGCAGTCGATAAGTCTTTGCAGGACAGTGCTTGGACATACAAACCTTCGTGCAAGTGGACCTGAGCAAAAGCAGCTCATAGTGGCTCTTGAACAAAAATGAACTGTTCGACTTGGGAATCTGACTGGAAAGGGCATTGCAGAAACAACAATGAAATGCATCCGCTGGTTGCACACCAAGAACTCAGCTTTGGACACAAGGTCTAAAGCCGAGGCCTTTCTGCTTGCACAGGCTGCGCTCGGTCAGCACTCCTCTCTTCCTTTTCGAGCTCACAGTTTTTGATGTCTTCCTCCTATCAAAGCGGACAATCTCTTTGGGAGTCTTTCTGATACTGTATGTCTCAAGACGCACTTCAGACTTTTTCAGCATTGCGTAAAATCTACCATGCACGTACAACAAAGGGCAATACTACAGTCCTGAATATGTTTGAATTAGGTTCCAGAAACCCCAAGAAGTCCGAAAACGTTGCACCGGATATCCACTTCGCCAGGCGCTTGAATAGCTGGATGCAAGGGATGGTGCAAATTGGTGCACAAGGGAAGTATGCTCGATGACTCGATATGGCTCGATGGTATTGCTGCGAGACTATCTCAATGACCACAAAGTCACCACCAAACATGCAGGTCATGCAGGCACAAGTCCGCACAAATCACAAAACCTTGCCAAAGACAATCATCAGGCATCCATCACCGATCGCCAGAAACAAAAATAAACAAAAGCAGGACAACTTGCTGAGTCAACGTACATCAGAAACAGTCACCACAGCACAAGAGTTCAGCATCATGAGGTAGTACGCACATGCATTGATGCAACGCAGGGACTACAATACATCTTAGGCTGGAGGCCATCGCTACTAGGTTGGAGGCCATCGCTATTGGGTCGGAGGCCAATGCTATTAGGTTGGAGGCCAGCGCTATTAGGTTAGAGGCCAGCGCTATTAGGTTGGAGGCCAGCGCTATTAGGTTGGAGGCCAGCGCTATTAGGTTGGAGACCAGCGCTATTAAGTTGGAGACCAGCGCTATTAGGTTGGAGGCCATCGCTATTAGGTCGGAGGCCAATGCTATTAGGTTGGAGGCCAGCGCTATTAGGTTGGAG